CAAGAAATCTCAGGAAAAGAGGAGCCTGTCCCCAGCAGCTTGTTACAGGGTGGTTATTCTGCTGTAACCATCAACGTCTTCCTCTGAGTGTGTGCAAGGCTTCACCCAGGGGCTCTGCTCTCAGAGTTACCCATGTCACGTGACTTAGCCCTACTGCCAGGCTCCTCAAGACAGTTGTAATTAGACATCAGAAGACTCTGTGCACTTGGGGCTGATATATAGTGGGGAGGAAACAAAGAGTTCCAGTAGTTCTCTCTTTTCATGGGGGACATGCTCCAGGACCCCCCTGCCAGGGGTTCCCTAAAACACTTGATAGTACTGAGCTTGGGACATACTACATCGTTTTTCATCCGTGTATGCCTGTGATGATGTTTAGAGCCCAGCAAGACGGCGTAGCAGGTCAAAGTGCTTGCCACCAAGCTGATGACCTGAGTTCGATGCCTGGAACCCACACAGCGGAAGGAGAGTCCTTCGGGCTGTCCTCTGACCTCTGCACGTGTGCCATGGCGCTTGCCCCCGACCTGCGCATCCATAATAAATAAGTAGAAGACTCAATAAAAAGTGCCCCCCAAAACCAGAAGAAAAATCCAAACCAACAGGTGTACAGACATGCAGAAATGCAAAACACTGTTTAAAAAGAAAAGAAAAGCAACAAGACTTCTACAAAAACCAGAACTCCTGACACCCAAGCTCAAGACACCGAGTCGGGTAGAATGCCAGGAAGATTTCAAAAGCTTTCTTTGAACATGATTGATGACCTGAACACGCAAAGAAGCTGCTGAATTCAATCCAGGACCAGGAGAGGGAAGTCAACTACACAGAGGGACGGTGAGCAAAATGGATGAGAAAATCAGCGATATGAGTGGAAAAGTCAACAACATAGGAAAACATCAGCAAAGGAATTGAGATTTTAAAAAATTAGATAGCAATGTTGGGAGTAAAAAGTTTGATGGGTCATATTTTTTTAAAAAAAATAATACTCACACGTGGTGGAAATAATCCTCAATGGATTCCACCAAGCAGAAGAAAGAAATGCAGAGGAGATTAAGGTTAGTGATCACCTTAAGTGTAAATGGTCCTTGTCCATAAAGAGACAGGCTGGATTCCAAAGCTAGAACCAACTGTGTGTTGTCTCCAAGTAAGACATTGCACAGTCCAACAGTGGTGGCGCACGCCTTTAATCCCAGCACTCAGGAGGCAGAGGCAGAGGCAGGTGGATCTCTGTGAGTTCCAGGAGAGCCTGGTCTACAGAGAGAGTTCCAGGACAGCCAGGGCTATGAAGAGAAACTCTGTCTCAAAAAAAAAAAAAAAAAAAAAAAAAAACTAAGAAAGAATAGAAAAGAGAAAGAAAGACATGCTAGTGAAGACTCCCACAGACTGAGAGGCAAAGGATGAAAATCTGCACAGCAAATGGGAAACAGATAAACTAGGTAATCTGGTGTCTGTTAAAGTTGACTCTGAACCAAAGATAGAAGAGGTTTTAAAAGACCACTACATATTAATAAAGAATCAATTCACCAAGAAGATATAAATATACATGCATCAATTTTATAAAACAAACACTACTCATCATAAGAGGTTGGACACCTAAGCTGGACTTTGGGAGGGATGGGGGTCACTGGACCCTGAAGATGGACTTGGGAGGGATGGGGGTCGCTGGACCCCAAAGATGGACTTGGGGAGGGATGGGGGTCACTGGACCTCTTTATTTGTTCTTTCCAGTGTGACTATGTTGACTATATCTCCTTTCTGTTCTTCATATTTGTTGTCTTCTAATCAACCTACTGAGGATGAGTGGCCAAGCCCAGCTTCTCAGGGCTTCCAGAGCCCAGGCTCTGCCCCTAACACTCTGCTAACAGTATGAACTACGCAGTTGATGAGGGATGTCTTTCTATACACTGTGAATATGTTTTATTACCATTGATTAATAAAAAAGTTGCTTTGGTCTATAACAAGGCAGGATAGAGCGAGGCGGGTAATCCAAACTGAAGACAGGGAGAAAAAAGGCAGAATCGGGAAGAGATGCCAGGCAGCCGCCAGAGGAACAAGATGCATTAAAACACAGATAAAGCCACGAGACACATGGCAAAACATAGATTAATAGAAATGGGTTAAGTTGTAAGAGCTAGTTAGTAATAAGCCTGAGCAACAGGCCAAACAGTTTGTAGTTACATTATGCCTCTTAATGATGATTTTATAAATGACTGCGGGACCTTGGGACCTCAGGACCAGCAGGACAGATAAAAGCCTCCATCTACACCCAGCAGGGCTTCAGCTGTCATGAAGGGGACCCACTCAGAACTCCCTGAGTTCTGACAAGTCACCGAGTGGCTTTACCTGCTCTTGTTTCTTCCTGCTGACGGCTCTTACATGGGTTGCGTGGTATCTGGTATTGAGACTTTTCAAAGCAAAATACTAGCACATTTTTCCCCCATGGAGAGTGTTGTCTTGGGGTTTTTTCCCCCTCTGGCTATAACACCTTTCAGCTCCTTTGGTTCCCAGGCTGAACGAGAAGCAGGGAAATCAGTCCATGCTCTCAGGGCGTTGCAAAAGCCTCATCTTGCTTTCAATCCCAGTCTCTCCCTTTTCTTCACGTTTCCTCTCCCTCTGGTATGGACCAGACCCACACTCCAGGACAGGTGACAGGCCTCCCTGGCTCACGTGGTCCATGCTCTGCTTGCTTCTCTCTCCTCCTGCTGCCCTTTGCCTCTCTCCTGCAGTGTATCTGCCCCCAGTATGAGTTCCGGGGCACAGGAGAGCATCAAAGGAGGGTCAGCCAGCTTAGCTAATGCACTGACTGAGGACTTCCTGACGAAGCCTCCCTGGTTCTGTCGCTGGCCTCATCTTATGTCACTTCTCTGTCTTCTGTGTTACTAAGAGGTCACTGAGGCACACAGGCTCTCTCCTCTGGTTCCTGACTCCAAACACTGTAAGATACTGGAGTTTGGTGGAGTGACTGTGAGTGAATGCATGCACATGTGGACATGTGCTTATCGCCCCGTGTTAAAATGGAATGGAAATACAACGACGAGTCTCCGATCCTCTCCTGCCTTTATCCCTGCTCCTTGACTCCTTGCAAACAGATACCGAGACGCATCTGTCTAAGTGTATACTAAACACGATGCAGTGTTGGCAAGGATGGAGAGAAGTCGTCGACATTATCATAGTATCTGTCAGTCATTAAGTACAGCAGCCCAGACCCTGGGTGAGCTTCCCCCCAAGCATCACAACGGCCATACCAGGGAGCTATACACATTCTCATTGGTTTTATTTTATTATATTTCAAGTGTGTATATGCGTGCACTCGCATATTTGTATGTATGTAGATGTTCATATGGGTTCGGGTGCATGTGTACACATGGATGTGTGAGGTGGAGGCCAGAGGTCAACCTCAAGTATTGTTCTCAGGGGCTATACACATTTTTACTGAAACAGGGTTTCTCACTGTCTTGCCAGCCTGGAACTCGCCCATCAGGCTAGACTGGCTGGCCAGTGTGCCCCAGGGATCCTCTAGTCTCCACCTCCCCAGGGCTAGAATACCGCACCCAGCTTTTTCTACATGGGTTGTGGGGGGTGTGGGGCACAGCTACACATGGAAGGGGACATGACCTTAGGTCCTAATGCTTGTGAGGCAAGTGGTTTACTGAACGAGCCATCTCCCCAGGCCCACACCCCCATTTTGTAAGTGATGGAAACTCAAGCTCCTTAGGGATTTTCCCAGGATCTCAAAGCTTGCCAGCAGAAGATCTTCAGAATCAAATACAATTCCAAAATCCTTCTCACTGCTTTGCTACCAAGGGGCCTTGAAAAGAAGGCAGTTCAATTGGTTCAAGGCAGGAAGGGTTGGGTGTTTGGGAGTGCAGCTCCCAGGCGGTTGGGAAGCTGCCACCTACACACATTGAAAGCATGAGCTGGCTGCATCTCTAGTGCCCTCCAGCCCTGCTGAACACACCTGCTCTTCAAGGCTACAGTGTGGCCTTTCTGAGTAGTACTGTTTTAGCCTAGATATTGCCGGAGGCAATGCTGATAGATGTCTTACACTGAGACAGAAAGAACATGAACTCAGGAGTGGGCTTCTGTCTGAACTCACTGGGGACTGGAGGGACGGTGACTTCAGCTCTGGTGCCAGTGGTCTCCCTCACCAGCGGTGACAATAGCTAAGTTTCCTGACGTGTATCAAGCAGTTAGTGTATCTCAGCTACTTTTCTGTGTTCTTTAAACATATTAACCAGTGTTATTTCCTAAGAAAATGGTGAGGGCGGGTCTACCATTTCTTCATTTTTAACAGAGAGTAAAGCCAGAGAAGAATTAAATGACTTTGATTCAAAAAGATGTTTTGTTTATTTCTTTGTTTTTGAGACAAGGCCTCACTGTATGCTCTGACTGGCCTGGAACTCACAGAAATCTGCCCACGCCTGCCCCCATAATGCTGGGATTAAAGGTGTGCACTGCCACTCCCTGCCAGTGGTGGTCCTCGAATATCCCGGGGGACATTAATAAAATATGTTTGACTACCACAGCTTTGGGGTTTAAGGGCATTCAAGAGGCTGGGGTTGATGGAGTTGCTGTACATAATACGCAGGACAGGATCCCATGATAAAGAAAGGCTCAAACCCAGATGTCTAAAGTGGGGAGGGGTTGAAGGGCCTCCCAGCTCCGGAGCCCAAGCTCTAACCTATTGTGATTTCCTATTAGAAAATCTTAACTTCATGCTTCTCTGGGTTTCAGGAAGATAAAAGGTGACAGTAGACCTTGGCCCTCACACACATGGTGCTTGGCAGGTAGTGACTTCCCAGTCATGGCTCTTCTGCCTCATCAGCCTCAGGGGTCTCTCTCCCAGGAAGAGCAGGGTCAGGAGACGACGTCTACTGGGCTAACCCAGCAGGGGACAAGGCGGCCTGTCTGCAGAGGAGACTTTGTTTATCAGAACTTGGAGTCCATTATTCACCCTTGAATTTCCTGGCGTGTTGAATGACCACTGTTTATGTTTGTGTTTACAGTCGATTTGGGAATAAGCATCTCCACGGATAATGTGGCTACTTCTTCCCCCAAGACAATGGAGGCCCAAGCTGCGGCCGATGCCAGCGGAAAGAATCTTGGGAAAGAAGCCAAGCCCGAGGCACCAGCTGCTAGATCTCGTTTTTTCTTGACACTCTCTCGGCCTGTACCAGGACGTCCCGGGGACCAAGGCTCGGATTCATCGGCTGCATCGGGCCGGCTTGATGTCAGCCCGGGCACAGCGCCTGCGAACAAAGACCCAAGTGAGCACGGGGCACTTCCGGTGGCAGCTGCACCCGGGCCGGCTGCAGATAAAACCAGGCCAGGGTGCACTGAGGCCAAGCAGCAGGCCCTCCCTGCCACCTGCCCGCCCGCACCTTCACCACCTGAGTCCCGGGCAGAAGGCCCCTCCAAGCCGAAAGACTTCAGCTTTTTCGACAGATTGTTTAAACTAGACAGGGGAAGAGAAAGCACACCAGTTGACGGCCAGCCTGAAGAAGCCCAGGGGGTGAGAGACCAAGACCAGGGCGCCGAGGCTCCTGCTTTGCCAGGGAATCCCCATGGTGTCCCTGCTGGCGAGGTAAGTGCGTTCCTCTCCAATGGGTGCTTCTGTTGGGGACACTGACCTCTGCACATGTCACCCTGCTGTCACCAAAGTCCCAGACAGGGCAAGTTTAGCCTCTTTACGTTTGTGCGGAAACATCCAAAGAGCAATCTGCAACCTCTGTTTTATGTAAAGAAAGAGAGGGGGTAGGTGATGTAGAGGTGAAGGTAGCCTCCTTATCCACGGCTGAGGTACAGGGCTGGTGTTTATGAGCCCAGACAGAAGGGCAGGAGGGCAAGGAAAATGACCTCTAGCAAGCTGAAGTACCAGGCCGGGATGTAGACTGTGAGTACTTACCTAACATGCTTGAATTCCTGGATTTGATCCCCATGGCCGCATACACCAGGCATGGAGGCTCAGGCTTTTAATCCCAACACTTGGGAGGTGGAAGCAAGAAAATCTGAAGTTCAAGGTCATCCTTGGCTACTTAAAGCCAGCCTGAGACACATAAGACCATGTCTCAAAAAAAAAAAAAAAAAAACCAAAGAATTAATTATATCATGACTATTAGACTCCAGACAAAATTTCTGGATAGTTGAAATTGGGAAAAGACAATAAGACTAATGTATTGAAGTTTCCTGGTATCAATATTTTCACTACACCCATAAATTTGGGCTCAGGGTTTATTGAAATGTTCTTTCACATGTCTACTCCCAAACTGTACTAGTTTGGCAAACAGTCCAATGAGGAGCATGTGGGGAGGGGTCAGCCAAGAGCCCCAAGGTGCTCCTCTGAGGGCTATGACCTGGTCACCGATACTCATGATGATGGCGGGCAACTGTTTACACACATCGCCTGGGTAGAGGAACTCTGGCTGGGTTTGCATCATTACCCATGGACACCCAGAGCCGTTCGGAGGTGGTGACTTTTAAACAGTCATAGGTCTTTAAGATGTAGGGATCCAAAGCCAGTCCGTCACCTGAGTCATTTATAAGAGAGGAGGCTCTGCCCGTCTTTGCACGGTTGCCCCATGACTCGGCCAAATCCTCCTTCATCAAACAAATCAAGCCAGCATCACCAGCCGCAAACCCGGGGCATACTCAACCCACTCTTCCTCTCAAAGAACTCGGTGGCGAACAGTTTTGAAGTGGTGCTTGCAAACTTGGCCTCCTCTATTGGGCTGGGATGAGGACACCCTCAGAGAAGGCGGCTAGATTTCATTGCAATAGGTTCCCAGGTGAGGCTGGCTTCAAGATACCATCTGTGTTAGAGAGACAGCAGGTATGAATGCAGTCCAGCCCAGGGTGACATCTGGAGTTGAAATCATCTTCCAGAGTAACCCCACCCCCAATTAGAGACATGTTTTCTTTCCTGGATAAAAGACCTCTCTCACTTACATTTGCCAAGGAAATGTATGTGCTTAATTGTGTCATACTTCAAATTTCCATATTTTTTTTTTGGTTGGCAGTATCATTGAAATTTGAAATATTGAGTGTCCATCATGTACTATGCACACACAAAACAGTTTTTTTGTTTTGTTTTGTTTTTTACATAGTATGAGATAACCATTTCTCCTTCAGCCTACAAGTGCATGGATATTTGAATGCATATATGTACAAGGTTTTTAAAAAACCGAACAGCAAAAAAAAAAACGTCGCCTTCTGATTTGTACAGGTTTCTCATCTGGCCCCTGGGGCCTACTTCCGTGTTTAGGGGAAAACCAATTGTTTTTTAAGTATAGTGAGAAAATACAGCTCTCAGAAACTAACATGAATAAAACGTCCCAATCAATAGCATTCTTGGAGCTCGTACCACCACAATGCAAAGTTGAGCACTGGATGGATCGATTCAGAATTCTTAGGGTAAATTATGCTTTGGGTTCTGCCATGTCAGCTCTCCCTCCCCGTCTCCCATCCCCCACAGTTCTGTGCCTCCACCACGCACTGTCACTGCATGCTGGCTTTGGAAATCCAGCCATAGAGCCACCGTGAATTAGGACAGAGATAACTGGCCCCCATCTCATCCTGGAGAGGGGAGGGTAAACACACAAATCTGTGTTTTCAGAATGACAATCTTATTTGTGCGCCTCATAAAACTACATTCAGACCATAGCATAATTAAAACAAGGCAAGAATTCATGGACAAATGGAGCATTTACCACAGAGGCCAAAGAAAAGATAAATTATAGACCTGAAAGTCTGACTGAGCTGTGATTCACACAGACCAACTGGTTGGCAGGGATGCGACTCCCCCCCCCCTCCCCAACTGAACCGGGGTTCTAAGATAAACATTTAATAGATTTCATCGCACGTGCACAAAATGACCCTATAATGGAAATCTGGCCTTACTGGTTATAAAAGAAAACACTGTTTCTGTTACCTCATGGTCCTTCCAGGGGTATCTTTGTGGTAGGGGGTGGATGCACGGATGAGTGATGGGTGCCAGAGATGGTTCCTTCCTTAAGACTTAATGCTTCTTTTTGCTTATAAACGTATTCAAGTTCTGCACTGACTGTTTGAACATGAATCTTGTACATGAGAAGGATGGTTGGCTCTCTTAGCCTAGCTTCTCATCTAACAAGTTTCTTTGCCCCCCCCCCCCGAACTAAGCTTTTTATTACAATATTTATTTATTTATTCTGTGAACGTGCGTGCGTGCACGTAGGTCAGAAGACAAACTGTGGCAATCGATTTTCTCTTTCCATCATGTGGGTCCCTGAGTTCAATCCCTGGTCTTCAGGTTTGGCAGCAAGCTCCTTTATTTGGTGAGCCATCTCAACAGCCCTTGCAGATATTCTTAAGAGATGCCAAAACTGAAGCTTTGGGTCACTCAGGCCACGTAGCTGAAGAGCCAGCTTGCTGTTTTCGCCTCCTGCTCTCCTGCCTCCCAGCAATGCACTCAGAGATGCTCACCAAGTGAAAAGACTACCTCTAAAAATGAGAAAATGAACCGGATGGTACATGTCTGTAATCCTAGTGTTTGAGAGGCAGAGGCAGGAGAATCCGATGGTCAGGGTTATCCTCTGCTACATCGTGAGCAGGAAACCAGCCTTGACTGCACGAGATCTATCTCAAAAAACAAAACAAAACAGCAAATGAGCAATCAGTTCCAGAGTGTCAAACTGTGGATACATTGGGATAGGAAATAGAGGAAAGTGACGATTCAAATGGATGGGAGGACAATTTGGAAAGCATTATCTAAGAAGACAAGGAAAAGTTAGTGTGTGTGTGTGTGTGTGTGTGTGTGTGTGTGTGTGTGTGTGTATTTTCTTTCTTTGCACAATACCAAGCAGTACTTAGAAATCTACTGCCATATGTCAGCAGCACTAAAAGCACTTCTCTCTAATAACTGTGAATGCAGTTATCAGTCTAGAGAAATGCATGTGACAGAGATGCCTCCTGTGATCCCTCATTGCTACTCCCCTGTCAGCATGGATGTCCACTCCTTGCCAGCAGCAAACTCATATTCCATTTCAGGCCCTAGGTAAGAGTGAGCTCACGCCTGTGTCCCTCTGCGAAACCCCACAGTAATTACTGATGCCAAAAACCAAAGTCGGAAGCTGGGGACGTAGCTCAGCTGGTAAAGTGTTTACCTAGTGTGCCTGAGAGCCCGGGTTCCAGTCCCAGCATGGCACAAACTAGGCCTGTAACCCCAGCATCAGGAAGGTGGAAGGCAGGAGGATCAGAAATTCATAGTCATCCTCAGCTATATAGTAAGTTTGAGTCCAGCCTGGGCTACACCAGACTTTGTCTCAAAACAAAAACACAAGCAAGAACATCCCATGGAGCTAAAAATCTGTGTTCACCTGCCTGAGCTGATGGGAATCAAGCTGATAAACTCCTAGCCTTCTGATCAAGGAGAAGAGACAGGGAGCCAGAGGAGGGAAGGAAGGAAGGAAGGGGACTCTTGCCTACAGGAAGCAAGGGGGAACCAATGGCCTTCTTTGATATTCTTTCTACCCTCCACCCCAGTCACAAACAACCAGCATGGTTAATGTAAGAATCGCATTCCCCAGTGAGCCTGTGGCTTCTTTGGGTGATGTAAATCCAGTGTCTGGAGCCCTTGAGAGACTTCTCTGGGGAGACACAGACAAGCTCATGCACACTAAGGTTTGTCTGCAGAGGATCAAAGACAGGCGGCCATTTCCGTGTGGAGCCTCTACAACGGTTCAGTTACTCGGCTCAGTTAGAAAAAGCAAATAAAATTGACAGAATTGCTTCTTTCTTCACCCAAAGAGGAAGGAAGTGGGTAAGAATTCTTAGCTCTCTCTCATAGAACATGGCAGAGGACAGTAGAAACATACATATATATATCTTTCAATTTTACGTGAATGAGTATTTTGCCTGCTGCGATGTTTGTGTATCATATGCATGCAGTGTCCCCAGAGGCCAGAAGAGGGCGTCAGAACCCCTGGAGCTGGACTTACTGAGGAGCCATTTGTGAGCTACTATGTGGGTGCTACACCCTCCCGAAGAGCCGTAAGTGCTCCTAACTGCTGAGCCATCTCTCCAGCCCTTTGATTTTTATATTTTCGGGTTTATTTTATTTCCATTCAGAGACTAATCATTCCCAGTTAACTCCATGGATCTCTATGTGGCTTGTTTCAATCCTGGATGGTGACAAGGCAAATATAAAAATTTTTTTCAAGCACACTCACCTTTCAAATGACCCACTTTATAGTTAAATATTTGTTGAGACATTTAGCAACATTTTATCCACAAGATTATTTATTTGCTTTTTATTTATTGCAGTGCTGGGATGGGACCCAGGGCTTTGTGCATGCTAGACACTCTACCAACCGAGTGCTCAATCCCCAGCACAAGGATTTTTTTTTTTTTTTAATTCTAGGGTCCTTTGCAAGAGAAAAGTTCCAATTTGGGGAAGACCCACTACGTCCTAACTCTTCACCAGCCTTCTCATGCACCAACTCTTCCATGGAGAAAAAGAGAATGAAAAATATTGAAATTATTAATAGTGATTTCTTGTCCATAATGGCTCAATGAATATAGTTTTCCAATTTGCTCATTTCTCTATAT